AGATATCGATGATAAATCTGAAATACAATAGATGGTTTTTGAGATATCGATGAGAAAGCTGAAATACAGGTTAATGATTGTGCTTATATCTCACCCCCCAACAAGATCTGTGCACTTTTTCTAGGCCCCTATGCACCATGTTTTGATGAAATGCGATGATTAGTATGGGAGATATTGGTGGAAAAGCCCAATATTGACTAATTATCATGCAAATTAGGTAATTAATATGCATGTTTAACTCAAAACTAACTATTTCGTTGACCTGTGACTACTATACATGCCAAATCAATAATAATTATTTCTTCATATGAATTTTAATAAAATAATTAATTAATATATGTTCATGTGTATGCAGGGCATTCTAATTGACATTTATATCATGATATATAAAGTGGCAATATAACTAACCAAAATATTGAAAACAAGACCCCTGTTCTTTAAATATCCAGACTAATGGCCGACAATATTTCTCAAATTAATTTTAACAAGACCCCCTTTGTGTGTATATATTGTCTCTGGCTCCAGATAATATTCAGAATTAGATTTACTGGAATTTATAATTTAGAAGTCTAAAATATTTTTTGCTATTTTGGAAATAGATTTAAACAGTTATGATCTAAATTTGCTATTAGGCATACTTGATGAACAATTTTGTGGTTTGACAGAATAACAAACTCATTTCACACACTTTGACCTGATTTATGTACTGTGATCTCATCTGTTATGTTGTTTGACAATAGATCTACAACTAATACACTTGTTCATTGCTGTCGCCTTTATTGTAGAATACTGGACCATTGGACATGTTTTTTTTATAAACATTTCAACAGCTTCACAAAAATCAAAAAAATCAATTAGAATAATGAATAATATACCAAGTTATCAGATTAAGTAAGCAAATAATTTTCGTTATAGTAAGACAACGATATCTTGATGGGATGCATTACATGGATGAATGAATGGATGGGTGGATGGATGGCCCTTGTTGATATAGCTTAAATTTTCACTGTATCAAAACTAAGTTTAATAATTTCCAAATAAAATACATGCAATAGCCGTAAAACGTATACCATTTCTGAATCATATTCAAATCCACTCGCAACCATAGAAATATTTGTTTTCTAATAATAGTGTTTAAAATTGAACGGCGTAAACTGACGTTTGTTTTCGTAGAATTGGCGTCGAGGGCGTACTTCAGAATCATTTTAATCATAATGGCGATTTGAAGGCTGCGGAGGGAATGCTTTTGCACAACAAAAATCGGATAAGAGAGCGGGGATTTTCTTTTATTTGACAGTTTTTTTTTAAATATTTTTTTCCTTTATTTCTGAATCACAATTGCATCAAGATGTCCTACCAAGAGATGGACCTGATCGTCACAGGTCTTCGTCGGCCATGCTCGTCGTCGATGTCAACATTGTCGTTGGAAACCAGGGTGGTACAACAACCTGTTGGATTTCGTACGGTCACACCGCGGCCACTCGTCACGCAACACAATAAACATTTATTGGGAACTCGCAAGGAATTGACGTTGTCCACAGAGTTTGGAGAAACCTACAGCGTAATAGGGTAAACAGCGTTTGTTTCTGTGCTTTTGTCGTACCATGGCGATTTTGTATTGTACTACTCGTATCCCCTATATTTAAAGACCACATATTATATGACAGGTCTGTGTTCTTAGTGAGCAACACTTGGCTAAGAGAAATTAAAATTTTTGCCAGGCACCTTACGCGATGTGAATATTCAAGGATTTCCATGGGGAAAACAAATTTATAAAATTAATAAATATCAGGTTTGTCTGTCTAAAATGGGGCCAGGGATGGGGTCTGTTTTTTTAATTTCCATGTATTTACTTGAGTTTTAATACTTTTATTGATGAGTCAGGTGATGAGTAGATGATTCAACCTATAACTGAATAAATTTAGTGACAATTTGGTCTCTGATGGGATCTATACAAAATCACTATTTGGTCTATAATGAGGTTTAGTTTTGAGGTGAAAATATAAGTCTATGATGGCCGGGTCTAAGCTTTTACTTCCGGTCGCACACCTCTACCAAACTGAAATGTCAGTGACCCCTAAGGGTGATGGATGAATACACTGACTTTGCTAAGGTAGATGCAGGGCTTTGACACAAAATAACCAGGAATCTTCTCCATACTTGTTTTCATCTTTATAAGTTGTCCCACCCTAGAAACTGGACACACTAGAGTCAACAATTTCAACTTTATCATAAATTCAATTACAAATTGTATGAGTTTAACAGTAAAAACAGTTCATGAATTAAATTGGG